TATATATATATCCTGCCTTGTCACGCCACATGTGCAAATATCAATAATAACAATAGCACGGACAACTCATGTGCGAATACCTCGACAATTCTCTTAATAAACCACGTGTGCCAAAATATAAAAACACATTATAAAGACTTTGACCATATGTGCCCATAACCCACAATGTTTTCCTCAAAATAATTTGAATGCCATAACCACGCATAGCCCTTGGCTCAACAACACCGAGTACAACAACAACAACAATAATAACATGAGAGTATGACAAGTAAATTAACACAATAACTTCAGAACACAAAGAAACGGATGAACGAGCTCACAATGAAAAACATAACAAGTAATAATGGCTTCAAATAATAATAACTCAAAAATAAGAGAATCAACATGTAACGACGATTTCAAGTGACGGTAAATCACAATGGAAGAGATAACATGTAATAAAAGAGGCAACAACTCCAGTTAACGCATATAAGAATATATTTGGCAACAAAGGTAGAACGTGAATCAATCAACTTCAAATAAGACATGTAAGGGTAAATTTAGCAAATGGAGGATATAACATGATAAAGCAACTTCATTTTAATATGCATAAGAAACCTAAGAGTCTAAAATGGTCAAATTTCTACATATAAGTCGTGTACACACTCGTCACCTCGTGTACACGTCTTTCACTTAGTTCAAATAGCACAAACAACCCAATTCCTATGGGGTAGTTTCCCCCACATAATGTTTGGCAAGATACTTACCTCGACGAAGTTTAATCGATACTCTAAAATGGCCTTCTCGTGTGAAACAACCTCCGGACGGCTCAAATCTAGCCAAAATAACTTCATAACATAATTAAAACTCATAGGAAACAATTTCGGATAATAAAATTCCGATTTTTAATTAAAACTAAAAAGTCAACCCCGGGCTCGCACCTCGGAAACTGACAAAAAATCATAAAATCCAAACACACATTCTGATACGAGTCCAACCATACCAAAATTACTAAATTTTGATCACAACTCGGCCCTCAAATCCTCAATTTAAGGCCTAAGAAGTTTCTATATTTTTTCTCCTATTTTCAACCCAAATTACTAATTAATGAAATCAATGATATATTCATGTATATTAACCAAAACCGAGTTAGAATCACTTACCCCAATTCATGTGGTGAAAATCGCCTCAATCCGAGCTCCATGGCTTAAAACATGCTAAAATACCTGAAACCTTCGAAATAGAGTACTTAAAAGTCTGTTCCAGGGGTACCCTTCGCGATCGCGGTCAAAACCCTGCTATCGCGATTACAAAAAATTTCCAGGACAGTTTTACAAAAATTCTATGCTATCGCAGCCATTTCCCCGCGATAGCGATGAACAAACTTCTATTAACTCTCCCCAAACTCTTCCAGATAGCCTATAGTTTATCAACAATAACTCTTTTTACACAACTCCAAATGATAATTCGTTTGCTTTTCTGAAAACTGACACAAAGAGATAGAACTTTCATTTTTGGATAATCTCTAAATTACTTATAGATTGCAAGATATAAGTTTCCAAAGTCGG